TTTAGGCTCTGGTGCTCTCAGAATACCCTGCACTTGGGAGAGACATGACGAGCTCTGCTTCTTTTGTAATGAAAAAGATAGTTTTAATTAACAATTGATCATTTAAAATCACATTTAAACCACTTACTCATATAGTTGAATAAGTATGTCCACTGCTCAAAGGAGGTAATGGTTGAATTTAACTGTGCTGTTGCCTAGAAAGTCTCAAAGGCGGGTTTTCCAGCCAGTCAGGAAGATTTTGCAAAAGGTAATAATGTAACCCTTTGAAATGCAGAAGGCCAGGATAGTCTGGGCCCTCCTCTTCCTCCCAGCCCACGTCTGTGTGAGCCCTGTGCCCTGAAGCCCTCCTCTGTCTTGATGAGACTTGGTTTTCCTTGACTCCCTGTCCCCAGGCTTCTCAGCTCAGCACATTCTCCCACCCTCTGTCCTGTGGGGCACCCCATGTCCCCCCAGGACTGTCTGGACTGTGAGGCCTTCTCTTGCTCTCTGGGCACACCTAGCAGTGTAAGGTGAAGAACACGTTGTGTGTGTGCTCTTAGGAGCATGTTTTTGTCTATGCATGCCCATATATACACCTGTGTGTGTACACGCTGTCTAGGTTTTGTGTCTCTGTTGAGTGCCTGACACTCACAGTAAACAGGAGACAGCGTCCTGCTTACTGGTTGAATGAGAGGGGTGAAGACATTTAAAACTCAGGGAAACCATGCTGAGGTTGTCTCAGAAACACGTGAATTGTAGGTTTGAGGGAATATTGATGTCCTAGCTTGATACTGTGTTAGATGCGTGATAGATGTTATCTTTGTGTTTCTGAAGATCTTGACAACACACACGCGTGTGTGTGAGGAAACACAGCCAAGTTAATGAATGACCTGCACAAGCTCACATGCAGAGTTCACGACGAGCAGGACCTGAGATTTGGACTCAGATTTGTCTTAACTTTAAAGGGCTTTTGTCCTTGTCACGTTACTGGCACCGTAAACATGTAGGGACTGATCATCTTTAACATTTCAAATGGGTCCAGCTTTTAAATTTTTACGTTTTGAGACATCGTTTTCCCGGAATTTGAAACAGCTGGAAGTTGGGGTGTTGGTTCCTGTGGTTCTGGGCTTCTGCCGGTGCCCGAGCGGGGCCAGAGCAGGCGGAGCCTTCCTGACCCGCAGGCGTGTGGACGGCCACGTCTGCTGTGGGCCCCGTAGTTCCACACACGGGGAGGGGTTCACTTACACGTAACAAGATGAACGCCCTTGTCTTAGTGCTTCTTTCTCTTGTCCCCGTTTTCTGGATGTTCTCTTTATTTACACTGTAACATTTGATTCTGGTCTGATTTGAACTAGAAGGACCTGTTGACTCTGACTTGAGACAAGATGCACTAACCCTTAAGGATAGGTTTCTTTTCCCGCAAGGAATTCTGTTAGAATTCACTAAGAAACATGAGTTTTGGTTGACACTTGTATCGTGTAGCTTCTTCATGGAAGCTTTTGTTTTATAATTAAATATTAAATTTTGAGAAGTGAAGGTTTGCTGCACAAGTGTAGGAGTTCTGTCTCGTGTTGATCATTCAGGGCATCTTCATTTTTGCTTTCCACGTTGATCCCCTTTCAGCTACCCAGGATGGGTTTACAGGGAAGAGGAGCCTTGGGATTTGGGGAGTATAGATACAGTTTGAAAAAACATTTCAGAGTGATCATTGTTTTCATTGCTTTTCAGTCATTTCGAAATTTCAAATGACATTAAAAGCCAACATGATTTCTTCACTTCATCAGTGGAGGAAGTTGGATGTTTAAAGCAGTGAGCACTGTAAGGGGCTATTACTGTGTAATGTCCAAGAATCCAGAATCAACTAAGTGATCCAGAAAGGAGGGGCAGCCTTGGAGCGCACAGGTCAGGTGATGAAAGCTCCTCCTCCTCTCCTGAGACGCTCCTTGTCTGTTTTGTCTGATGATAAACTAGCCACTCTGCCTTTCTTGTGCTGTGTCGTGTTTTATGTCTTTTTTTCTTAATCCTTTTCTTTTCAACCCATGGGTTGAAATTTGGACTTTAAAAATACATTTCCGATAGACTATAGTTGAGTAACACCTGTAATTGTTACCTTGTTACTAGTTTGTGATTCTCTACCTTTTGACTTAGAATGTTTAGTCAGTTTATAAGTAATGTAATTATTGATCTGGTTGTGTATTTCTCTTCATCTCTTTTTTTCTCTGTTGCTCCTTTTGTGAGTTTCTTTGGGGTTATTAACTGAGTATTTTTTAGCATTCTATTTTAATTCCCAGTTGGCTTTTTGGCCATCCTTTCTTGCATGTTTCACATTGGAATTGGAAGTATTAGTCGTGCCGTTATGTCTGACTATTTGCAACCCCATGGACTGTAACCCACTAAGTTCCTGTGTCCCTGGAATTCTACAGGCAAGAATATGGGAGTGGTGGTAGCCATTCCTTTCTCCAGGGGATCTTCCTGACCTAGGGATTGAACCCAGGTTTCTTGCATTGAAGGCACTCTTTACTGTCTGAGCCAGGGCTCCTAAGGATTATAATTTGCATCTTTAATCCACCATTATCTACTTAAAATTAATGTACTGCTTTGCATAAGCTATACACAGTCCTTGTAGCAGTATAACTTCGTTCACGCTCTGCGTTCTGTCTTTTTTATCTGAGGATGTTATTGACTGTACCATCATTTATGCTGTAGGATTTTTGTTTTTTAGTGGTGAAAGCTTTATTGATTATTTGTGTGTTTCTCCTACTCATCACCTGTGGCAGGCATTTGCAGGATGGCTAGGTAAAGACTTAAGTATGCAGTCTGTAGCCACAGTAATTAGATCCTTGCTGTCTCCATAAAGAGGAGATCCAGAGCCACTTAGTCCAGTCAGGAGTTGATGACGAAGCCCTGACCCTGGAGAGGATGTACATGCAGGGGGCGTCCAGCAGTGCTGACAGGAGGCTGCAGCGCTGGGGAGCGTACGTCTGCCCCAGCGCCCTGCTGGGGCACAGCACTCCCTTCCATGTAGAGATGATCCTCAACCACGATGTGAAGATAGACAGAAACACAAGTGGAGACAGAATATGGTTTGTTACCCTCTCAGCGTTTCTCAAATATAGCTGTTCAACAATCTGTGTTTAAGCCTGTTGGGGGTATTTATTAAGAATGATTGCTCCTGGGCCTCACTCCACACCTGCATGATCAGGGTCTGAATATGAGACGTGGCGGGGGTGGGGGGGGTCTGCCTTTTAGGGTGAGTGCTCCAGGCTTGTCCTAAACACAGCCATGCTTGACTGTCACTGTTTTGGCACTCTTCCCAACAGCCCCTGCCTTTTTAGGGACCAGAACCCACATTGTTCATGTTTATCTTTAAAATTGACAAGTGTGCAACTGATGAAACAATTTGGTCATAGTCATAGAATTCTAGAGCCTGCATAAAGGCACCTTCCAGGTCATGACAGCCAACAATCCTAGAGGAGGAAACAGGCCAAATGATAGTGTCTGGGTGGTTTGACAACTGATTCATAACGCAGGAGGTACTTTGCTGTAACTCGTAGATCAGGATAACCTGGTAAAATCTTTCTGTATGTAAGAAATTATTTTCATGTTTGGTATTATTTTTAGTCCAGCTTGACAATCTCTGCCCTATAATTGGGGGTGTTTAGAGTGTGTGCACTCCCTGTGATTACTGATATGGTTTGATTTTCCTCTCATATTGCTATTTCCTGTTTGTCCCACGTATTTTTTTCTTCCTTTCATCCTCTTTTTCTGCCTTCTTTTGGTCTGAGTATTTTCTATGATTCCATTTAATGGCCTTTATTGGCTTACTTACTGTATGTTTCAGGTGGGTATTTTTGGTGTTAATAGCTGCCGCAAAGTTTATAATTAGTGTGATCCTGTGACTCATTACTGTCAGTCTTCATGTATATGTATACAATATATCTCACTCCTTTTCTGCCTGTGAGCTGTTGTAATCTTACGTTTTGGACTTCCCAGGTGGCTCAGTGGTAAAGAATCTGCCTGCCAGTGCTGCAGATGCAGGAGACATGGATTCAGCCCCTGGGTCGGGATGGAGGAGGAAATGGCAACCCACTCCAGTATTCTTGCCTGGAAAATTCTGTGGACAGAGGAACCTGGTGGGCTACAGTCCATGGGGTCACAAAAGAGTTGGACACAACCTAGCAACTGAGTACGCAGTCATATTTTACTTCTACATGTATTATAAACTTCACAGTGTATTTTTTCTCTATTTTATAGTGCATAGTTTTGTCTTAAACAATTATCTTTAAAGAGTGTTTTTTTTTTTCCAATAAGAAGAGGCATTTGTGTTTGCCCACATATTCACCGTTTCTGATCGTCTTCATTCCTTTGTGTAGGTTCAGATTTCCATCTGGTGTAATTTTCTTTTTGCTTGAAGGGCTTCCAGTATTTCTTGAAAGTTTGCTGCTAGTGATGTCTGTCAGCTTTTGTATGTCAGAAAAAGTTTATTTCACCTTTATGTTCAAGAGACATGAATTTCAAAGATATCTGAGCGATTTCTGTTTACTCAGTCTAGAGGTGTAGGTTGGCTTCTTCTCTTTCAATCCCTTGAAGACGCTGCTCTGCTGTCTCTGGCTTGTGTTCTTCCTGATGAGAAGGCTGCTGTAATTCTCCTTTCTTTCCCTGACTGCCTGGCAGGATTAACTCTGTCAGGGTCTGACACTTCACTTACTTACACGTCGTCAGTGTCCTGGTTGAACATGTGGGTTCTCAGGTCTGTGGGATCACTCTTTTCTGGTCACTCTGTTCGTCGGTCACACGCCTGAGCATCTGTGGCCTCTGACCCCCGTGCGTCTCGGGGCAGGCAGCACACACCCATCAAAGGAGGAGAGGAAGCCCCTTGTCATCCGTGGCCTCCGACCTGGCTTCTCCTGTGGCTCTCTGTCCTCTAGACGCAGCGAAGGGCGGGTTGACCTGTGCTGCCTGGGAGGCCCGGGCGCCTCTCCGTGCGCAGTGTATGAGGAGTGTTCTCATGTCTCTGATAGTTGGTGTGGATGACTGCAGCTCAGAGTCTGATGTGATTGTTGTACCTTCAGCCCTGGACTTTGTCTCACAAGATGACATGCTGACGCCGCTGGGGAGACTGGACAAGTATGCTGCGAGTGAGAACGTATTTAACAGGTATGTGCATGTGCTGTCCACTGGGGGAGGCGGGAGGGTGTCTTTTATTGCACAAATTTCAGTTAACAGAAGTACCCAGTTTAAAGAAGGTGCCCGCGGCAGTGAGAGTCACCCAGCTTCACTGCTGGTCACAGCTGTGGCCGCCTTTACACTCGTTACTCCTCCATCCTGTAAGAGAATGCACTCTTGGCTTTTTGGCAAAAAGCAACCAAAAACCCCACTACTTTCTTGCTATTGAGCATCGTTTTGACAGTCATGTGAAGTGGCTACTGAGGAATCTGCTATTGCTCCAGCAGGGGGCGGTGTGTCCCTGCCGTGGACCAGGTGACTGGCCGTCAGGGGCGCGGGACACGGGACACGGCAGTGACCAGTGCTCACTCTCCCCAGTTGCACTGTTTCTCCACCTGCAGCCCCCAGACAACCTGGATCAGACTTCGCTGGGAAATCGAAGTCTTTCTAGCATCTTCTGAGTATAGATGTATGAAACTCGTTTAATCAAATATGTAAAGATAACATTTTATATAATGAAAAGTAATTATATTTTCCCCCTGTTTATGATAATTGAAGGTACTAATAGCTACTTAAGACAAATTTTCAGTGACCTTAGAAATTTGTCAGATAATGGTGAAACATTCTGGTAAATGGTCACTCTCATCTTAAATAAAATTCATACCAGCATTTGTCACTTAGAAAATTGTCACTTATAAAATGTGTTGAGAAGAACTTTTTAAATCCATATGGATTCTGACTTTTAAAGTTCTGAATACTAACTGTTGGGTGCCACTGACCGTGGTATAATCTTCTTTCTGTGCAGACAGATGGTGGCCCGGAGTCTGCTGGACACGCTGAGGGAAGTGTGCGATGATGAGAGAGAGTGCATTGCTGTTCTGGAAAGAATCAGCAGATTAGCTGATGATTCAGGTGTGTGTTTATGCAGAGGAAGGTTTCTTTTATCAAATTTAAGTTTCTAAAAACTAATGAAAAACTTAAGTGTAACATGAGGTTTCTTGGAAGTATTTCCTAAGTAATTTATCTAACCCATGAGTAAAAAAATAAAAAACCTGTTACAAAGATCCAGACATTTTATATACCAGGCCCATTTAGTTTGACTTTGGAAATTTTTCAGAAGAATCTAAGAACATTGTTTTGCATCATGTACATTCGTAATAACTATTACTGTAATAAAAACTTTATACTTTCTTGAATAAGTAAAAAGGGATGGAGTGAGCTGTAAAACTTTTTTGACAAAAAATGCATTCTTACTTAAAAAATGTTGATCACTCGTAAAACTAAAGCTGTCTGTCTCTAAAGTGCAGATAGGAGGAGAGTCTGCTTAAGAAAGAGGTAAACTTGTTTTGAGACTTAGAACACAATTTATTACGTTTTGAAAAAATACTTTTCACTGAGGCAAAACATACATAAAATTTACCATTTTAAGCTAATATTGCTTTGAGCATATTTCTATATTTGATTTTCGAAACAATTTAGAAATAAAATTTTTTCTTAAATCCATGATCTCTTTATTGAAATGTGTTATTTTTCCATTTCTGTTGAACTTTCTGGCATGTCAGCATTCTCATCCTTTAATTTTAAATGAGATCATTTTTTGGTGAGCGTCTCTTTTTTTGGGAATATGTTTACTATTCACATCAGCCTTAGATAGTTTTATTTTCCTATAGAAAAAAAAAGTAAGCTCACTAATATTCTATTACTATCTCATATGATGTTCTGTGTAATTGCTTATGTATATGCTTGTTCCAAAGTGGTTTTAGGAGAGTGTCATCAACTATTATTTTTACTTAAGTTTATTTTTGATTTGGCAAAGATAACTTAAAATTTTGGCACTGTTGCAGTCCATTGTATTTATTCCTTTCTTAGTAGAGACCTGGATATTTTTTAAGGCAGAATTTGTTTTTCTTCTGCCTGTTTACCAATTGCACTGCTATTTTTTAACACGTGAAAGTGAAAATGTTAGTTGCTCAGTCGTATCCGACCGTTTGCAACCCCAAGGACTGGAGCCCAGCAGGCTCCTCTGTTCATGGGATTTCACAAGCAAGAATACTGGAGTGGACAGCCATTCCCTTCTCTTGTATGTATTCTAAAATGTATCTCAAATTGTTGAGTTCCTGATAAACATCTCTGTTGACATTTATACTTTGGATATGTGTAAACAGTACATACTCTATGCCAGGTTCTAGATTGAACGTTAGAGCCATTACCAAGATGAATAAGAATTCCTGTCATCAAATTAACAATTGAGTGAATGCAGCCGACACAGTAACAATAAGCCGTAACAGGGAGGACTGGGGCTGGCTTCAGACAGCTGGCGGCATCTGAGCTGGGTTTGACCACACAGAGGGAGAGGAAAGGAGAGGTGCAGGGGTCTGGGGAGCTTAGGACACTGGCCCGTCTCATCAACAGTGGGTTTACTAGTCCTGCAGTTTAGAAAAACTAGGCTTAAGCGAGGGGCCTGAGGGGGCTAGATTGTAAAGATTTATACTGTGCTGGGCTTGTAATTTGAAACAGCAATGCAAAGAGCGTTGGCTTGAGAAGCTGCCTGCTGGGCAGCTCCTCTGACTGTTAGGGGTCGTCCGGGAGCGGGGTCAGGGCCGGAGGCTTGTTAGAGCCATGCGATCGCAGCCTCCCTGAGTTTGAGGGTTCTAGTCTCTGTCAGAGGTCAGGAAGTTTTGGTCTTAATATTTGTAATGCTAGGTTTCCTCCACCTCAGACTCCTGTTTTTTTTTAAGTTTTCTTTTGTCTAATTAGATGTTTTGTTGTTGTTGTTCAGTTGCTCGGTTGTGTCTGGCTCTTTCTGACCCCATGGACTGCAGCACGCCAGGCCTCCCTGTCCATCACCATCTCCCAGAGCCTGCTCAAACTCATGTCCATTGAGTCGGTGACGCCATCCAACCATCTCATCCTCTGTCATCCCCTTCTCCTGCCCTCAATCTTCCCCAGCATCAGGGTCTTTTCTAATGACTCAGTTCTTTGCATCAGGTGGCCAAAGTATTGAAGCTTCAGCATCAGTCCTTCCAATGAACACCCGGGACTGATCTCCTTTAGGATGGACTGGTTGGATCTCCTTGCAGTCCAAGGGACTCTCAAGAGTCTTCTCCAGCACCACAGTTCAGAAGCATCAATTCTTGGGCGCACAGCTTTCCTTATAGTCTAGCTCTCACATCCATACATGACCACTGGAAAAACCATAGCCTTGACTATATGAACCTTTGTCATTAAAATGTTTTATACATTTTATACATGGTTCAAAATACAGAACTCCAGTTAGATACATCTGTTGTCTATAGTGAAGTCTCTGTAAAGTGAATTTAGCTGGTCTACTTCGGGGGGTTTATTTGCCTTGAAGGGCTTCCCACCTCAAGGTTCAACTTTTTTTTTTTACCTTGCCCAACAGCTTACAGGGTCTTAGTTCCCCAATCAGGGATTGAACCTGTGCCCTCCTGCAGTGGAAGTGTGTAGCCCTAACCATTGGACAACCAGGAAAATCCCTTAAAATGTTGTCCTTTAGTGCTTTTGATCTTTTAAAAAAAACTGGATCTCTGATTCACCTACAATTTATGTATAGAGAGCAGTGTAGGAATCTCACCTTTTTGCCTCATACAACCAGCTTGCTTTCTTACCATTACTCGGGACAGTTGGCCTTTTTGAAATGCTGTCACATTTAAATTTGCCATATGAACTTGGGTCTTTTCAGATTTTTTTTTTGTTGTTGTTATTTTCAATCTGTCAGTCTCCTTTAGCATTTGCTGACCCTCTATCATCATAGTTAAGTCTGACTATAAACCCTGCACTCACTAGCTGCATTCAGGTTAGGAGCCAGGCCTTATAGCCTGTCCTGGAGGTTTTGAGAGAGCAGTTTGTGGGTGATGCCGTCTACAGTTGACCTGAATTCAGGTGGACAGGTCCAGTCCTCACAGGAGTGACCACAGGCTCCAGGCAGGCTCTGAAGACAGAAGCCGGGAGTGGGTGACCTTGCGTGACTGTGACGAGCATCGTGGAGCAGAGTGCGTTCCCTGAGCACTCACGACGCCGGGAGGAGCGTCGGGGGCTCTCCTTGGGGCTTTCCTGACTGCCCACCTGGCAAGAACCCTATGCGGGGAAGACGCATCCACTCACCTTCCTGTTGTTTTCACAGAACCGACCGTGAGGGCAGAGCTGATGGAGCAGGTGCCTCACATTGCCTTGTTCTGCCAAGAAAACCGGCCAGCAATCCCATACGCCTTTTCAAAGTATTTGCTGCCCATTGTGGTTCGATATCTCGCAGATCAGAATAACCAGGTAGGAAGAGCCTGTCCACATTCCTGCAGAAATGTGGGCCGTCTGGTGGTCTCCTTAGAATGTTCCTTCCACTTAGACCTGGTTATTCAGTTTCTCAGAGAAGATGGGGCAGAGTCTAGGAGATCGCCTTAGTGCTGCGACAGACAGCGCCAACGGCTGCTGCTCCCCTGCCAGCCTTCCAGGCGGCCCCCAGAAGTTTGTACCGGGAGGCCTCTTTTCCAGGAATGGCTTTTCTGTTCCCCTTGACCTGTTATGACACAGTCTGCCGAGTTCTGTCTTTGCAGAGCAGCCAGCAGTTTTTATCTGCAAGGTTGTGCTGGTTGGGAACCTTTGGTTGGATGAGGAGTCTGCAGATTTGTGAACTTCATGCCTTAGGGTTTTGTCATACTGTGCACATGCCTTGTTTACGTGTTTGTTTTTTCCCAGGTAAGAAAAACGAGCCAGGCAGCTTTGCTGGCCCTGCTGGAGCAGGAGCTGATCGAGCGCTTCGATGTGGAGACCAAGGTGTGCCCCGTCCTTGTGGAGCTGACAGCCCCCGACAGCAACGACGACGTGAAGACGGAGGCCGTGGCCGTAAGCGGAGCTCACTTTTTCAGTTCAGGGGGATGAGCTAGTGTGTGACCGTAGGAGTTGACTTAGACACGACGCCACGTTACATGGGGTAGGGTGGGTACGTGCTGGGTATCAGAGTAGCCACGGGTCATGGAATGTGAAACATAATGCTGGGCTTGGAGCAGACACAGGCTTCCAAGGGCAGAGGTGTCTTTTGGGGGGGGGGGGGTTGTGCCATGTGGAGCTCCTGGGATGACGGTCCTTGCTGGGCTCGGAGAGGCCAGGATGCATGGCAAGAAAATATCGAATCAGCTGTGAATTCATCTCATCAAGAGGAAAAAGTAAGATGGCAAAGATAGCTAGGATCCTTTTAAAAAACCTGTATTGAATGAAGATGCATTTGAGCTCCTTGAGTTGTTGTTGCGCACTTTTCTAGGCACTGTGAGAGCACAGTAAGAAAAAAGAGGGATGCTGCCTGTTGCTCCCGGCCTTGATGGCATGGTCTTTGCAGGGAGGAATATATGATATGTTACGATTACTAGAAAAACACACAGATTAAGTCGTCTTGCACATAATAAAGTGAAATATGGTGAGTTTTCTGGTTTTTGGACATGGTTAGCAAATAGTTTGATTACTTGAGAGCCATTGCAGGTTGGGCTTGAATTACATGTATGCTATCATTCACATCTGTGGTTCCTCAGTTCGGAAAGTAAGAATTCTTATAATAGAAAAGTGATCAATCCATCTGGAAATTAATTTAAATTATTTAGGTAGTGAGGATTTGCTATTTAAACCTAATACAATGGCATTTGTGTTGATAGGAAAAAAATTACACTATAAATAATTTAATAGTGCTTCTGGATCTTTTGTAGGATGAATTATATTTTCTCTCTAGTGCCTTTCATTGAAAGTTCCATTATTTTATTTTTAGATACTTCAGTCAGTTCACTCACTCAGTTGTGTCTGACTCTTTGCGACCCCATGAGTTGCAACATGCCAGGCCTCCCTGTCCATCACCAACTCTTGGAGTTTACTCAAACTCATGTCCATCAAGTCGGTGATGCCATCCAGCCATCTCATCCTCTGTCATCCCCTTCTCCTCCTGCCCTCAATCCCTCCCAGCATCAGGGTCCTTTCCAGTGAGTCAACTCTTCGTATGAGGTGGCCAAAGTATTGGAGTTTCAGCCTCAGCATCAGTCCTTCCAATGAACACCCAGGACTGATCTCCTTTAGGATAGACTGGTTGGATCTCCTTGCAGTCCAAGGGACTCTCAAGAGTCTTCTTCAACACCACAATTCAAAAGCATCTGTTTTTCGGCGCTCAGCTTTCTTCACAGTCCAACTCTCATATCCTTGAAGTGAAGTGAAGTGAAGTGGCTCAGTCGTGTCCGACTCTTTGCGACCCCATGGATTGTAGCCTACCAGGCTCCTCCATCCATGGGATTCTCCAGGCAAGAATACTGGAGTGGGTTGCCATTTCCTTCGGTACCAGTTAATAATGAATTTACATAGTTTTCAATAATTACATTTTTATTGAAGTGAAGTTCACATAATATAAAATCAATCATGTTAAAGTTCACAATTGAGAAGCATTTAGTACATTCATAGTGTTGTATCACCTCTATCAAGTTCCAAATCATAAATTTTTTTTTTAATTTCACAAACTTCTCAGGAAAAAGGAAATCGATTTTGGCGTAATTGTTCGTTTATATTGAGCAGAGTTTTAACTTGCTGTGTTACAATTTTTAATGTGATTTAGGAATAGTAAAACATTGTAATTATAACAAAAGGCTAGTGCTAGTGAGAAACGTGTGATTCTATTACAAATGGTTTGTGTTTATTCTGCTATGTTTTGCATTCCCTGTCTTCCCAGTAGTTCTGTTTTGGGAATAATTCATCCTAAGAATTTAATTATGCCAGATTGGTGATGCTATGTATCTTTGGATCATTAGCTTGGGCTTAGAGGTGCCTGGAAACAGTCTGGAGTCAAGAAACCTCACTGCTTTAGGGGATAGGGAGTGTCAGTGTCCCCCCCGCCACCTGCCACTCTGAGGGTCGTGGGTCTGATAGGGATGGGCCGACCTCACAGTCTGTGGGCACAGAGATCTCGCCGTTTGTTTAAGCCTTTCCCTCATCTCCTCAGTGTTTGGTAGTTTTCAACAGATCATGTATGTATTGTGTTAAATTTCATGTTTGTTTGTTTTTCATTATTGTGAATATTTGTATACATTTTCAGTTGTTCATTGCTAATTGATAGAAATACATTTTTTTTCCTTCATTCTGTCCTATGTCCTGCAAACGTCCTAAGCTCACTTGTTTGTTGCAGTGGCTTCTTGGTGGGTTCCTTGCGATGTGGTCTGTACACAGTCATGCACATATGGTAGAGTCCCCTTTCTTCCCAGTCAGTTGCCTATCCTCCTAGTATTTGGGCTGGGGGTGGACGTAATATATAATGATGACAGACCATCAGATTTCCTTATATTCCCTTACATTCTAACTCTGGGGGGAAGGTATTCAAATGCGTTGAGCTGGTTTTCAAACAGTCTGTCCTCACTTTGCCTGGAATGCTGTTATCCAAATCCTGTGCATCTCAGACCTCTGTCCATGCCTTCCTGGAGCCCTGGCTTTGCAGAGTAAGCACGTGGTCTTCCCGTTTGCGAGTTTCTGAGACAGTGGTACTTTGCACAGTGAGGACTGGCTTGTACAGTCTTTTCTTAGCAGTGCAGCTGCACCGCATCCAGGCCCTTCTTGTGGATAGTCTTTCCTTTGAGCAGTCACTATTTATTCTCTTATCAGGGAAATGTAGGAGTTTTTTTCTTTGTTTATTTTTATTAGGCAAAATGATTAATAAGGTTGAAACTGTAGGTAAAAATGCTATTTTTAGGATTTTCTCTGGGTTTATTGTACCTTTAATAATCATTGGGTTGATTCTGTTGGTAGTAGTTAATATGGACTGTTGGTACTACTGCATGGTAACTACTACTGTTGGTAGTAGTTAATATGTTTTTCTGTCTTCAACTTGGACAAATAAGATGAATTTTTTGTGATGTATAAGGACATCATGTTATATTTTATACTTCCTTAAGTTACATACTTTTAATAAATTGGCAGAAGTCTTAGTTTGAAGGTGCGTTCAGTATGTCTGTGTTCTCATTTATTTTAGATAATGTGCAAAATGGCCCCCATGGTTGGCAAGGACATCACAGAACGTTTGATCCTCCCTCGGTTTTGTGAGATGTGCTGTGACTGCAGAATGTTTCATGTTCGAAAGGTATTGTAGTGGTGGTGTTTAAGATACATGGTTCTTCTCATGGTTACTGTATTGATCTGTGGAATTTAAAAGATTTTTTTTAAAGAACACTATAATATTTTGAAATGTCAATGATGCTTTCCTTGTCAGGTCTGTGCCGCCAATTTTGGAGATATTTGCAGCGTCGTCGGCCAGCAAGCTACTGAGGAGATGTTGGTAAGGCCTGCAGACAGGAACCGAGGAGAAGACAGTGCGTCTCAGAGCAGCACCTGAAGTTTGAAATACATACAGTGGCCCCCAGATTGTATTAATATAGTTCCAGAAAGATAGTATGACTTAGTTTAAGTTTCTGTAATCTGGGTGTTTGTATTGTGTTGTGTTTAAGGACAGTTTGTTTAAAATGCAGATGTGTTAAGAACCATCAATCCCTTTTTAACTCCCATTTCTATAAAATCAGTTCTTATTTATTCATATGAATCTTTCACTTTAGCAACCCTAGAGTATTTTAGTGACCAGTTAGATTTATAGCAGGTGATTTTTAAATGGTTATTTCATGGGATACAAGGGCTTAATGTACAAGTTAATGTGCTCAAAGAGTTTTGGAAACCACCTATTATGCAGAGTCGTTAAAATTAAGTACAAACTCTTGAGCTGTACTTGTCAGGAGTGTCTGCTTTTCCGCAGTCAGTAGTGGAAAGAATTGGGTGTGATTTATTTAAGCTGTTGCTCCTGCTACTGCTAAGTCGCTTCAGTCGTGTCTGACTCTGTGCGACCCCATAGATGGCAGCCCACCAGGCTCCGCCGTCCCTTGGATCCTCCAGGCAAGAACACTAGAGTGGGTTACCATTTCCTTCTCTGATGCATGAAAGTGAAAGTAAAGTCGCTCAGTCGTGTTTGACTCTTAGCGACCCCATGGACTGCAGCCCACCAGGCTCCTCTGCCCATGGGATTTTCCAGGCAAGAGTACTGGAGTGGGGTGCCATTGCTTCTCCATTATTTAAAGATACTAATTGCTAATATTAAATGGGTCTTCTAAATTTTGTTAAGTTAATGTTTTAAATGCCGGGAAAGAGAAATGAAGTAAAAGTAACAACTGAAAGCCGCGTGTGTCTGTCTAACGATCGGGGCCCCTCTCGCCCAGCTGCCCAGGTTTTTCCAACTCTGCTCGGACAATGTGTGGGGCGTCCGCAAGGCCTGCGCGGAGTGCTTCATGGCTGTTTCATGTGCCACGTGTCAAGAGATTCGACGGACTAAACTGTCAGCACTCTTTATTAATTTGATCAGTGATCCTTCACGTTGGGTAGGGCTTTGTTTAATTACCATTTTTGTAAAACAGTGCATTTTACAGAAAATATGACTTTAATCCCATAATTTAAGAAATAATTTATCATTTAAGGTATGTTACTGCTGATACTTCTGGGAGTAGACATTGGGCTACTATATTAACTTTTTTTTTTTTAACAGGACAAAATTTCTATTCCATGCAAATATTTTGTAAGGTCTTATATTCACATCCTCACAGTTTGGATATTCAAGCCAAGATTAAAAAAGCTTAAAAGTAAAAAGGAGAAAATGATTGAGGGAGAGTTGTATCTCCTAGCTGAGGACAGACTCAGGGTCTACTCCTGTCCTTTCTTCCCTCCGTAGGTTCGACAAGCAGCTTTCCAGTCTCTGGGACCTTTCATATCTACGTTCGCTAATCCATCTAGCTCGGGCCAGTATTTTAAAGAAGAAAACAAAAGCTCAGAAGATACAGCAGTAGAAGACAAAAATAGGTAAGATCTTTAAAAACTTTTCTTTCAAGTTTCACTGCTTGTGAGCAGTTTTTTCGTTTTCACTACTTCTATTATGTTCTTTTTGGAGAGTTTTATTATTTCTCTTGATTATAAAAATTGGTAAATATTTTTTATAGAATCTTATTTTAAACACATTTGTTAAACATCTCTTTGGTTAATTGTGTATTGAAGTGAGAAGATGAAGATGCATGTAACACAACTGGCTTGGTGCTAGGCACATAGAAAGCTGTTGTGATAGATTTGATAGTTTTTGAGTAAGTTTATCTAATAATTAATTTACCTAGTAAACCATCTGTTAACACAAAGAATATACAAAGTAATGGTTATACAATTTAAAGGGCTTGGTTTTTCAAGGAGTAAAACCTAATTTAGGAGTATGTATTACTGTAAAGTCAGTTTCTTACCATTATTTTCCTCTTTAGTCAACTAATTTTCTTTTGGATCTTTGATTCTCTGTCTGCAGAATAATGATTATGTCAGTAATCATAATAATAATTATTTGTCAATTGAGGGGGAAATATTTTAATGATTAGCCCCAAGTTGGTGTAACTTATTGGGGCTTCCCTTATAGCTCAGTCGGTAAAGAATCTGCCTGCAATGCAGGAGACCTGGGTTCGATTCCTCAGTCGGGAAGATTCTCTGGAAAAGGAAATGGCAACCCACTCCAGTATTCTCGCCTGGAGAATCCCATAGACAAGGAGTCTGGTAGGCTACAGTCCATGGGATCACAAGAGTCGGACATGACTTAGCAACTAAACCACCTACCACCAGTGTACTTATTAACTGAAATATCAACTTTTAAGAGCATTTAATAAGACAAAAAACTAAGATCATGGCATCTGGTCTCATCACTTCATGGCAAATAAAAGGGAAAAAAGTGGAAACAGTGGCAGATTTTATTTTATTGGGCTCCAAAATCACTGCAAACGGTGACTGCAGCCATGAAATTTAAAAGACGCTTGCTCCTTGGAGCAAGTTATGATAAACCTAGACAGCATATTAAAAAGCAGAGACCACCATTTTGCTGAAAGGTCCATATAGTCAGAGCTATGGTTTTTCCAGTAATCATGTATGGATGTGAGAGTTGAACCCTAAGGAAGGCTGAGCATCAAAGAACTGATGCTTTCAAGTTGTGGTGCTGAAGAAGACTCTTGAGAGTCCCTTGGACAGCAAGATCAAACCAGTCAATATTAAAGGAAATCAACCCTGACTATTCATTGAAACAACTGATGCTGAAGCTGAAACTCCAGTACTTAGGCCACCTGATGCAAACAGCTGACTTATTAGAAAAGACCCTGATGCTGGGAAAGACTGAAGGCTGGAGGAAAAGGGGACAACACAGGATGAGATGGTTGAATGGCATCACCAACTCAATGAACATGAGTTTGAACAAACTCTGGGAGTTGGTGAAGGACAGGGAAGAGCCTGGCGTGCTGCAGTCCATGGGGTTGAAAAGAGTCAGACATGACTTAGAGATTGAATGACAAGAGTAAGGCAACCAAATTTTAAAGCTTAAAGAGGACACCGCTCATTTTTACTTTAAATTTTTTTTTTTTTGCATTTAAGTTGAGTTTTAGTTTTTATTATTTACTTTAGTATCCTTGGGGGAAAATAGCCCAGACCTAACTTAGTGCACGGGAAACACACACAGACTCTGACAGGTGTGCCCTTGGGCCCAGTTCCCTGGGCACCCATCCCCCTTGTCACGATGCTAATGGACATTTTCTTCTGTAGGTCTTGGTTCTGTGCTATTTCCTCTCTTGATGTTGTGACTTGGCACTCCTTCCTTTCTTCTCTGCTGCCTTGTTTTATCTTTTTGCCCGTTCTCCTCCTGTCCTGCTGAATAGTCAAACAAACCCAAGGTACTGTTCTCTGTGAAGGATGAAAAATCACCCTAAAGCTGTCTTCCTAGCGAGGAAAGTTGGTCACTTCCTTTGAAAACCATTGCTGCAGGATGTTTTTCAGTGATGATGGGCAGTGGGGGTTCTCTACTCTTTGCTGTTAACATCAGCGACCTTTTGGCTAGTGGCACTAATTGTATAAAGACTGTTGCATAGCTTTTATTTATTTATGAATCTGGAAAGAGTCTAGGAAGTGATAATGTAAAGTTACAGAGAATCGTATAGGACAGGGGTGAGTAGACTTCCCGTAAAAGACCTGCAGTGAATACTTTAAGTCTCAGTCAGAACTACTCACTCTGCCTTTGCAGACAGTCTGTGCTGTGTGGGCTCAACTGTGTTCCAATAAAACTATTGACAAAAACATTGGTGTGGCCAAACATGGCTGGTGATGTTGCTGGACTGCCTCTATAGGATCTTGTTGGAAGAGCTGTTTAAAGACTGTTAGTTCTCTTTTGGCTACAAACCTTAACCCCTCTTCCATTGTAATGAGGTCTGTCTTAGTGTCAGGTCAGTGCTTTTGTAGCATTGGACTTTAACTGTATTTTTACACTTTGTTGACTTGTATTAATGACGGTGGTGGGGGAGGAGGCAGTTCCTGGCTGCAGAAAGAGTTGTGTTAGATATTGTAGAAGCCATCACATAGTTCCACGTATTATTCATCTCAGAGCCATTACCTGGGTGGCCCACTCTTAAATACCTGTTGAGCTGCCTTAAATCTAGTTTTGCTTTTTAAGGTTGGTTGATTGGTTGATTTTGCAAAACTTAATTGAGCACCTACTGTGAACCAGTGACTATGGCCAGATACACAGGACTTGGTTCTTGTTCTCAGGGTCCTCTCAGTTTCCTAGAATTCAGATTTCTCAAGCAGATGTATTACAAAGCAAGTTTTTGGCAATATATTTCCACTGCTGTTTATTTCATTTGTATTATTTTATCTGATCCTGGAGATATTTAATATCACTTAGTACTCTTTGGTTTCCCTGGTAGCTCAGACAGTAAAGTGTCTGCCTACATTGTGGGAGACCCAGGTTCTATCCCTGGGTCCGGAAGATCCCCTGGAGAAGGAAATGGCAACTCACTCCAGTGTTCTTGTCTGGAAAATCCCATGGACTGAGGAGCCTGGTAGGCTGCAGTACTTGGAGTCGCAAAGAGTCGGACACGACTGAGCGACTTGACTTTCACTTTCACTATTTGAAGCATATATTGATTATAAACCTCTGACTTTATAAAATGCCAGGTTTCTCTCTCACTCACCCTGGATCAGGCTTCTTTGAAGGTGTTGAGAAAGGTGCTTCCAGAGTAGTTAATGAGCACCCTGTCTTCCATTTAGCTAAATCAGCTATTAATATCACATTGCTGTCTGCACATGCTGCCTTCTTTTGGGTCTCCCTCTTTCTGTCTGGAACACCATCCTGTTCTGCCCACACCTCATTTAACAGAGAGCTGTCTGGACAGGGCGACCTCAGTGTCTTGGAGGAAACCCAGAGCGTTTGCATCCTCTGTGTCTTGAGCACTGGAGAACAAGCGCCAGTGTGGGCCTGTCTCCTCATCCTGCACTTGCACATGACATCCACAGACTACAGGTCCCCCACGCGGTAGCCTGGGTTTATCTTGTGTTATCACACCATCACCGGGCCTGGCATGCGCTCGGCATGTGATAAATCTCAAATGAGTTAATGTAAGAAAGTAATGGATTTTATCCCAAAAGCCTTAAGTAACTGAATCATTTTTGCTAGTCTTTGTCAATTTAGCATAAAGCTAACTTTGTGTAAGTAAAATTGATTGTTACTGGTTTAAATTTGGAAGTATTTCACTGATGTTGAGTCTCCGTTAAGTGAGCACATGGAGTCCGTGTCTCCTGTTGCCCAGCACGCCCATGCACTTCGGGGACCAGCAGTTCCCCAGTCACTTTCCTAGGCCAGGGCCTTAGCTCACCTGGACCCTAAGGATGTTAACTGTCAGCCAGTGTAGATGCCGAGGGGACGTGGGTGCTGGTGAAGACGCGTTCCTGGCTGAACCTCTGGCACCTCCGCGGAGCTGGGTGCTCTGCTTGCTGTGCCGACCCCTGTCCTCCCTTCTCCGAGCAACGTTTGCACGTATGGCGGTGTTTGCAAGACTGACTGTTAGGAAGGTCAGAATCCTGACCATCTTCAGCAGCTTGATGGTGCACTGGTCATTACTCAGCTTCAGGAAAAAGCGTATTTAGAGAATTTATATTTTTGACAGTTTGAAGCAACTGGTATTCATACAGAATTTAATACTTTGCAGAATTTCATGTGAGGGAAGGTGTTTTTTCTCTTTTGAAAACCATAGCAGGAGTTTGAAGTCAGGACAGATTAGTAATTTTTCATAGCAGATAGAGTGACTTGGCCAGTGACTCCTTGCTTTTCCTGCTGAGAATGTTAAAATTTAATGCTGAGATGAGGTAGTGATAAAGGAGCTTCAGGCCCTTGGAATAGTTTTCCAAACTAATTGGCTTTGAATTGGGTGCTGTTTGTGAATTTTAAATGGAAATTTATTAAGTTCTTCAGATAACAGATAACTTCAGATAACTGAAACCTCTGAAGTTTCAGTCATTTGCTCCCCACCCCCACCAAGCAACGTCCTGTTGCTTTGATTTTTAAAATTTAGTTTGCATAATATCAAAAAAGCTGTAAAAGTAGCACAGAGAATCCCATAAACCCTTCTTTTGGATTTCTTCAAATGTTAAGATTTTACCATAGTTATTATTATTTTCTGAGTTCTTTGAGATAAGTTTTAGACATGATTTTTTGATGATATGATATCTTTCTTAAATATTTCACTGTGTATTTCCTCAAAACACACAGACATGAACACATAACCACAGTCTCATTACCAAAATTGAAAACTTAAAATAGATACAATACTGTCCTCTAGAGATTTCATTCAGATATTACCAATTATCCCAATCATTTCTTAAAACAAAAGAAAAAATATATTTAATAAAGAAGATGGTTGGAAAAACGTCATGTAATTCATACGCACATGGAGGATGTTTATTGCACATGGGAGCACTGGTTTGGAGGACTGATGGGGACCTCCAGGGTGCTTCGGGCACTGCAGCCAGCCCCTCGCTTGATGAGCAGGGCAAGAACGTGGAGCCTGCAGCGCGAATGCAGGGTGAGAATCGGCTCTCGCACAGTTTACGTGTGCATGCGGCCTAGTTTATGGTTTATATGAACGGAGGAGAAATACCAGAATTTTAAATACTATCACTGTGTGGTCTGTTTTCAGATGACTTTTTAAAATGTATCTGTATCTAAAACAACTTTGTAAAATAATCATTCTGTGTTTCCAGAAAATCGTTTCTGAAAAGGGTAAACATTCCTATGAGACAAAACCTAATCCGGGAAGTGGGTGACCTTCCGAGACCACGCACGGTGGCCAGGGCATCACGTAGGTGGTGTTGTCACCTGCCAGGACGCAGGCTGGAGAGCCTCCTGTGTAATGTCTTTTATCCTGTATATTCAAGGGCCTGTGTTTCAGGGGAGCATCTTGAACTTCTCCCCTGCACTCGCCTGGCCTGTATCCATCCTCACCTCCCTGTTACGTTTCTTAGAAAGAGGTGTCTCGTCACCTGTCTCATCTGCCCGCCTGTGTTCTCAGCCCCTGTTTGTCCTCCCGAGGAAGATGTGGCTTTGTCAGCTATTCCATCAGCCTCCTGCACCTCCAGTTCTTCATCTCTTCGGACTTTTCTCCCTGTGCCTCACGTACCCTCTTGTACGAGAGGAATGCCATACTCTTGGTTACTCTGCACACCCAGCGTGTGGACATGCAGGCCCAGCCCACACTCATCCTCCGGAGTCCCCTCTGGTCTGGCTCAGGGTCTGACCACTGTCCCGGGGCGTCACCACCTGGAATTGCATGTAGGTCCCAGCTCGGCCCATGCAGACCGCAGCATCTCCTCTCTGAACCCTCACACTCGCGCTTCTGTTTTCTGAAAGTGCTGCCCCTCTTGTGTTGCTTCTGCCTTCGCACGTCTGTCTGAGCTCACTTCCCCTCAAGCCTCACAGACGCTGACTGGTTCTTCAGACACGATTCCTGTTGTTCCATCGGAAGCCTTTCCTCCCAGCCCCGCCTCCCGTGATCACGGGCTGGCTTCTGTACTCACTGCTTTGCCAGTGGTCACCTGCTCTGTTGCTGTTTGCCTCTTAATTACAACCTCAGGAGCAGGACCTGAGTCTCATTCACACACAGATCCTCAATACAGTGTCACCTCCTGGCTCCTAGTAGGTGCTCAGTACACATTTGTTAAATGTAATTGAGCCATAATAAACTTAGCTTAGGTGATGGGTGGAGTGACTAGTGAGCTTTAGGGTTAGTGGCTTGTACTGTCTCTCTGCCAATTAGGTCATGACTCCGTTTGGGGGGAACATCTGGGAGTAGAGCTGAAAGTGCACAAGAAATAGAATTAACTGTACTTACACTTAAGTGGACTTGAATGTATTTTGTAAGTAGTAAATAAGGATCTTTTCTAATGCTGCATGGAGGGGCTTGTTTCTTTTCAGTGTGGGCAAGGTGGTTTTAATTCTCAGCTTGTCAGTATATCACTGGAACATGGTAACGATACCATAATCCTAAAAATCAGATGATTTAAAAGATGTATTTAGCTTGAAATGCCCTGTGGGAATTTATTTTCCTACTGTTTCTTTTTAGTTTCTTTGTTCTTGAAATTAGCATGGTGTTGTATCATCACAGAGTTCTTAAATACTATCTCCTCCAACTAATACCTAGTAATTTAATATCTATACTTAATTGATGTTTGCATCTCTGAACACAGAACAACTGATGGAAAAAGAAGCATCATCAGTGGTATACACAAACTACTGAGTTTGTGTGGATAATTTGTAATCTTTAATGTTTAATATTTAAAGTTAATATTTTTTAAATAAAAATTTTCAATATTTTAACTCTAAATGCTTTAAGTAGTATCTTTTATTGGTTTTCTTCAGGAATTATCTTGATACTTTCACTCTCTTTCCCAAACGAAGCAATGAAAGGACCAGGGGTGAAGACGCTCCAGAGGACGTAGAGAGCAGGCCCACTGTGGGTGATTGCAGCGTCCACCTGGAAGACTCGCTGGCAGACGGCGCAGAGAGCCCAAGGCAGCTGCCGGATGAACTGAGCGCTCCCGCGGAGAGCTCCTCACCTCGCCGGTCGTCCCCGGAGCCTCCCCCATTGTCCCCGGAGCCTCCCCCAGACGCGGCTGGCAACGAAGAGGAGCAGGAGCCCTGCGCTTGCAGGTTAGCGTCCCGGCCGGAGGCGGGCACTGGTGCACAGGACTCAGCTCCCCTGGACCAGGAGCTGTACAACTCCTTCCACTTCTGGAGGACTCCTCTCCCCGAGATAGACCTGGACGTGGAGCTGGAGCAGGGCTCTGGGAGTGAGCCCGGCCCACAGAGGCTGGACGTGGAGCCCGAAGTGCCCGCCTCCAGCTCTACCAGCATCACCATGGCCACCAGGAAGGAGCTGGAGGAGATGATAGAAAACCTGGAGCCGCACATTGATGACCCTGACGTGAAAGGTATGGGAGGGAGTTGGTTCTTTGTTCTGATGAAATGTTACTTTCTGATTTTCTTTCTGCCAGAAAGATTCCCTTTTAAAAATCGCTATCAACCAATTGTCATCATGCATTCTTATCTTGAGTGTGGTTGGTCTGCATTTTAGGGAGTAAATTTTAGATGAGTTTGTCACTGTTCTGAGTGTAGCAGGTTCCAGTGTGCTGGTTCACGGATCACTCTGATGTGTTCACATGCACTCACTGGTCTACAGTTTAAACCTTGAGTCCTGCCTCCGCTCGTCTGCCCCGGGTCTCAGTACCTTCCTACAAGCAGATAGTGCTTTGTTTTACGGAAGGAGGACTGTGTAGGAAGGACTGACCTGTTAGTGGGGATGAGATGCCCGTCTTCCTATGGAGCAGGATGCAGTGCTCATTGGCGAGGGTCCCACTGGCATCTTCATGTCTCAGTTCGGCCCTTGTTCCATTGGGTTACACTTGCGTCACCTGGGTTCTGCCATTGTTAATGGCAGCCTTGCAGATCGCTTTGTGTGACGTGTAAAAATAACAGGCTGCTCTGACATGGTGAAACGGGTGTGGGGAGACGGCTCAGGCCGCCCCACTCCGGAGTGGGTGCCGGGGGTGATGTACGGTCTGAGTGTGGGCACCTGACCCCAGTGACATCAGAGCATCATCAGGGCTCCTGACCACGCTAACTATCAGGGCCGTCTGGAATGTTACTGTAAAACAAAGCTGTTTTGAAAAATCCCCAAACTGCGAGTCTCCAGAGCTTCTGTGGCCTTCTCTTTCCTTGTTTGTGGCAGAAGCTAAACTTTGTAAACTGTCAGTTTGCTCAATGTTAGCAGATCCCTGCTTTTAAAGCAGACAGAGCCATACCTTCAGTGTCCTTCTAAACACAAAATCTAGTTACATTTAAACTTGGGAAATTTCATCAGTGGCGGTGAAGTTAGCCGTTGTCTTTGTTGGGCTTTAGCATCTGTTGTCACTTTATGGTCACTGCCTGGAAGAGCACCTGGCACATACAAGGTGCTCGATAAGTGATGCTGGTTGATTCAGTCGATAAATGACTGTTATCAAACATCAGCATTGCGGACAGAAAGAATGGCATGACACATTTAAATTGTAGCAGATTTAAGAGCTGAATTAGAGAAATAATTAAATCGTAATATAGCATTGCTACTAAAATCTCAACTGCAGGCTGTAAATTTTAAGTCAAACAGTGTTAGTCCCTGTTTCACGATGGGAAACACAGTTATATCCTGAAACTCATATGTCCATGTAGCTCTTTGCAAAAAGCAGACTACACAGATGACTTCTAGCTTATTTGTTTAAAAAGCATTGAAAGCAGCATATTCAATATTCCCATTCGTGTTTATTAGGAGTTAGAGAACTGACTGACCAGCAGGTGTGTGCAGAGCACCCCCGGCGCAGGCTGCCTGTGCGGGGCGTGCTCTGTGCAAGGCTTCCCGGGACGGGTCATCGGGGGTCAGGGACACAGAGCCCCTGCTGTGTCTACCGGGGGCAGAGCACGTGCCCGGTCCAGAGCATGGACCGGACAGTCGGCCTCCTTTAGTTCTTCGATGATTTCCTTGTGGGAACTCAGAGGCTTTTAAAAGGGGAGCAGAAGTGACTAAAGGGTTAGTACAGATAGCCGCTGAGGTTCTCGGAAGAGTGGGGATACATTCCACAAGTAAGCTTTCACGATCAGACACCTCAGTGTAATGTGTTCAGTCAGCTCGTCATCCTGTACATTTCCTTTGTCTCTGCTGCCAGTGCCTCATAGGAAACTTTATAGTAAATTTTATAAATGCTGTAGCATGGTAATAGGCGATCTTAATAAAATGCTGATTGCTTTTTAATCATGTTTAAATAGAGCAGGAGCCCACTTTCTCATCTTTATACTAAATAAATTTGCAGTTAAACTTTATAAATTCCTATGTTTTGAGTGTCCATGTGGATTGTTATTTGAATAATGCTAAACAAAATGGTTTATTGTGGGTTTTTTTTGGCTAAATTCCTCATTTGTTTGGGGCAGAGGAGGAAGACTGCTTATCTTCGCTTTGAACGACTTTTATACAGATGATGTAACTCAAAGTCGTAGACAGTGCTATTGCCAGACTTCAGCACTGCTGCTTGGCAGTCTTGTTTTGCTTTCCTGAGAGCAAGATCGTGCTTGTTTGGGATTCCTGTGTTTGGGGCAAGTCACTGATTTCACTTAAAAAAAAAAAAAAGAGGAAAATATAAATAAACCAGAGTAAGATGTGAGATGTTTAAATGTGACTGCCACAGACGTCTTTGTAATTCCCGTGTTTTATGTTGGCAGGGTCTGTGTGACTGCTCTCCTGCTAAGGTGGCTTAGTAAGTAAGCCAGTCCCGCTCATGGTCCCCGAAACATAGTTCACTGACCCTGAAATTGACTAGATAGCACCTCTTCTCATACTAACGCAGAATAATGCACAGTAGTGGGTAAACACTTTAATCTTATGAAAGTGTATTAGTTTTCTACTTCTTCCCTTGGAAAACTAATGATTGACCACAATAGCGGTCTCTTCCAGCTTCTTGAGGGTGGTGTCCCCAGAACACTGCGCCTCGTTGAGCCTGTAACCGCGTCCGCGCAGGGGGAGTCCCACGTGGCGGCCCCACTCACAGCCTGTCCTTCGGCCCACAGCGCAGGTGGACGTCTTGGCTGCTGCCCTGCGTGCCTCCAGCCTGGATGCCGGCGACGAGACTGGCGAGGCCACCCGGAGGACCCCCCAGGATGAGCTCCCCAGCTGCCGGCTCGACCATGACGCCGCTGGGCCTTTGATCAGTGAGGAGGTGAGGGTGCCACGGGACGGGCACATGTTCTCGGGCAGCCGTGGGGCTCATCCCGGCCACCTGGTGCCCCCCCCTTCTGCATAAAGTCACTGTGTGCCATCTCTGTGACACCCGAGGCTCATGGCTGGAGCTTGGAGTTAGCAGTTGCTCTGTCCTGCCCACTGCAGCCCAGGTGTGGGTGTCCCTCACCGCAGGGGGCAGAGCCCTCTGTCGGGGTGACAGACTCCTCCCGTGTCTTTCTGGCGAGGCACTGGGTCTCTGCCCGGCCTCTCCCTGCAGCGAGCACGGTGTTGAGCGAAGATCGGGACTTGAGGCCAGGAGTGGGTGCGGGCTGTGCTGGCCCCCCCAGCCTGTGTCCTGCACTGGCTTTGCCCGTGCTACAGTGTCATCTTTGACAAGAAAAAAAGGTGTATTTGTGAAACTAGAAATAGCCAGAAATAGAAATAGTAGAAGAAAAACTGCATATGACATACCGTAGAAGAGTTGACTATAGTACCTTCTAAGTGCTGTTTTTATTGATCGCTAATTTTAGATATTTGGGCCTTTTCAAAATTATTTCTAAATTTGCTTTTCAATTACATTTCTTCTGGAATTTATTTTTAAAGCTTAAGCAGCCTATTCTGCAAGTTTGATATGAGGCAGGGGAACTTTTAGGAGGTCTTAACATCTGTTTATAAATGTTGAAAAGCATGAAGACTTTATATGCATTCCTGTCTTTCGGAAGTCGTGAAAGGTGAGCAGCTTAAACGGTGTAAGAGCAGGGAGCTGCCCGATAGGGCCGGCTGTCTAAGTGACTTTTCTCCCAACAGACCGTGGACTCTGCCCTCCACTACATTCACAATGACTCAGACTCGGGCACCAGCAGTGGTTTCAGCCCTGATGAGGAAAGGAGAGCTAAAGTCCAGGTCAGTGACCCCAACATGTTACTTTCACTCCACTTTTCAACCCATTTCTCCCCAAATTTGGCCCTTCTGATGATGTTTTGGAAAGGAGTGCTTGTGTGTCATATTTTTGATGAGAAGATTCAAGCAGTGGAGGACAAGCAGAGACCTTTTCTTTCTCACACCATGATCCCTGCCCCCCAGGGTGACCACAGCCGCCTTCCTCCATGTTTCCTCAGAGCGTGTCTGTGGGCACGTGAGCACATGTATGCGCACCTTTGTCTTTCAGAGACAGCCAGGCTGTCATGCCTGGTCTTCATGCCTGGGTTGTGTGGCTTGTCAGGTGGAGCTGGGTTTCAGAGAGGAGAACGTGGACACAGGGCCAGGGCCACCATGAGGTGCCGTCAGCCACAGGGTGACCTGAGGCAGAGGCTTCAAGTGGGACCACTGGGGTGTGGTGGTGCCTTTCTTTTCTTCTCTTTTTAAAACATCGTGTCTTGGAGCTCTTTGCACGGGAACGCAGATCCACCTCCTCCCCCACCCATGGGGGCAGGGCTGTGGCGGGTGTGCAGGTGTGCTATGACATTACAGGTGAAGCCCGTGCATCATGATGGTGCCTGGGCCAAAGGGGGCAAATCCTTGATTTTTGTTTGTTCTGTTGATTAAAAATGGAGTCCATATTCACATGTTAAAGCACACTTTTTCCAAGCCAGTAAATAAAGACCGTCTCATTGCTTCCATGAGTTTCCACTTTATTTTTTTTAAAATAGAGAATAGGTTTACAAAGTACAGAATTGAGCTTCCTTCACAGCTTTCTCCTCCAGCACCCACTTGGTTTTTCACCCAAGGCAGCAGTTGTGCCTTTATCTTGTAGCTCCTTGCAAAGCTGTACCATCCAAGATCATTCATACAAGTTGTTAGAGGTGTGCACACTTCAAGTTTCTATAGATAATTGCTAAAATTCCCCTCTGGAGGAGGTGGTGGTAGTTTTAAGATCCTGGCTGATGATGGCGCAGGAGCAGACCCGTTTCACCTGGGTCTCTGGGTCACTCCATACCCTGTAATCTCTGTCAGCACTGAACCACCTGCTCTTGTTTCTGATGTCTTGTAAATTTAGTGAACAGTTCTTATCATCGTCTAAGCTGTTTTCTGTTTTAGTGTCTTGTGTGTCATCTTTCTCTTAGAGGTACTTTTATTCACTGATACATGTATTTCCCTTCACATGTTTTCTTAACTCTTTCAGTTATTAGAGACGTGGAGACAGGTTTTTTGCTACTGTATGAGATGCTGCGTAAAATCCAGATATTTAACATAAGCGTACCTAATCTACAAAGTCTCAACCTGTCTCGTTTAGGACGTGGTGCCCCAGGCCCTGCTTGACCAGTACCTGTCCATGACCGACCCCTCACGGGCACAGACCGTGGACACCGAGATCGCCAAGCACTGTGCCTACAGCCTGCCGGGCGTGGCACTGACACTCGGCCGCCAGAACTGGCACTGCCTGCGCGAGACCTACGAGACGCTGGCCTCGGACATGCAGGTGTGGGGCCGCCGGGCAAACCTGGGGGCCGAGGCGGGGGGAGGGCGCAGCAGGTCTCCCTGCGGGCCAGGCTCCTCCCTCCACTCACACATCATGCCTTCTTTTGGACCAAACTGCTAGAATCTGCCTCCCATTTGAACTGCCGATGCCCCTAACTCACAGAGGTGCTAGTGCTGTTGTCTGAAATGTATGTGCAGATTCATTCTTGAGAAAGTGGGGCCTCCTTTCCCCCAGAAACAGTATCAGAAATGCTTCCTCCACACAGCCGGTGACCCTGTCTGAGCAGTTCTCCACCTTTGTTCCCCGGCCTCTTGTGGCTGTGGTGACAGTGACGGGACAGCTCTGAGCAAGGTGGAGAGGGGCTCCTCCGAGCACCCCGTCCTCCTCCGTGGGGCGCACATCAATCACTGTGGGCACAGCATTCTGTCTTAGGAAGAGATCCTGGTGTTTGGGAATGGGGATAAATCCCTTGTCCTAAACAGCTTCTCAGCAAGTAAAGTTTCAAGCTAAATAACAAAGTGAATTTTTAAATTAAGGCCACATGAAGAAGTTTTTGACAAAGTTTCCTACAAAAGCAGGGCATTCCTGTTGAGTAGTTCTTTTCCAGGGCTGCCTTCAAGATATTTCCCCAATCTTGTATTTCTCTAATGGCCAGTTCTTTAAGAATACGTTTTGGGGTTGTTGTTAATCCAGGATAGACCGTGTGGAGTCAGGAGGGGGACACCAGGAAGTCAGGCCCCCAGTGCTCCGAAAGCACGCAGGCAGCTCCACCATGCTCGCCAAGCACTGTCTTCCTTCCTGAGTGAAGGGGGGAATGATGCATACTCTGAGGGACTTGACATTATTCTGCCAGTTTTTGATAGCATTTTAAACTGGGTATCTGTTATTAGTTTTATTTTGATTTCACTTGATGTTAATAACATTGTTCAGATATACGTTAGCCTCCATGTCCTGTCCAGACGTTAAAGCACCAGGACTTTGTGTTCTGCTCACTAACGCTGTTGTCTTCACTCCTGCAGTGGAAGGTTCGAAGAACGTTAGCTTTCTCCATCCATGAGCTTGCAGTCATCCTGGGAGACCAGCTCACAGCTGCAGACCTGGTCCCAATTTTTAATGGATTTTTAAAAGACCTCGATGAAGTCAGGATAGGTGTCCTGAAGCACTTGCACGACTTTCTGAAGGTAACTTTTAAGTTCTTTTACGTTAAAATACTACCACTGTCGATTTAAGAGTTTTGACTCCACACTGCCACAGATGATAGGTTCCCATGTGTTCCATGAGAAATGTAACCATGAGTTTGATGGCAAAAGGTGACTTAGAAAACAGTTCCACTCTGATCAGTTTTGCTGCTGTCACTTTAGTGTTTTAATTTAACGATCACGCTGAATTTCATTTGGAAATGATGTTAGATCATGGTTACAAACGTTAGTACATTTTTTTCTCAAACATTACTGAACTGAACACAGAAAATCCCATAGATGTTCAGCCTTCTGTGGTGTATGGGAACTCTGAGAGGTCCCCTTGTCCTTACCCTCTGACGTGGACCCTGGTCTTCAATAGGAGCAGCACTGACCATAAATGATTTAGTCCTAGGCAGCTACTGTAGTTGTAAGTCTGAGGTGCAAGAGAATTGTAATCACAGTTTCTCAAACTGTCCCGAATTGTCCCCTCGACTCAGACCCCAGTGGGGAATCGCACGTTGAATTGAAGTGCCTCTTCGGTCCCTTAGATCTAGACCAGCCTCGCTGACTCCCACCTTCAGTGCCCTGGGCCTGTTTGAAGAGCCCAGGCCAGTGGTCTTGCCAAATGTCCCCAATTTGAAATGTCAGCACTGTCACCTAGTCAGATTCAGTTCCACAGGTGGTGCATGCAGGGGCACAGCCTTTCTGCATGGGTCCCGGGTCTCCTCTCAGGAGGAGTGTGGTGTGGGCTTCTGGGGCCCCAGTGGTGCTGAGTCCAGGCTCCTGGCCCTGGGTCGGCGCCTCCTCAGTGGGCAGTGCGTTCAGACTCTGAGCATCTCTCCCCACTGCTTCTCACTCGTGCGTCTGTACCCAGCTCCCCCCTGAATCACTGGCGACTGTGTGAATTATAAAATGCCAATTTTCTATTTTTGTAACTCTGTACTTACTAGTATCTCCTGTAAAAATAACCTTTTCCTTCTCTTCCTCTGCCTTTTTGGAAGTTGTTTTTTTTTTTTAATTAATAGTATGAACTCCAGAATTACCTTTTTATTCTGTGTAATGTAATCCGTTTCTGTTGTTTGTTTTAAGCGTAAATTTGGCAACTGAGAGCCGTTGAAGCCACCTCCTGTGTCCTTTTGCCCCTCATTTCCAGGCACGTCTCACTTTCAGGCCCGGCTTCTCCCATCTCCCCGGCAGCCCTGGTCCTTTCTGGGGAGCCTGGGCATCTGGAGCTCAGTTCTCAGGGGACAAGAGCTTGGGGAGGTGGTTTGAAAAGGCATTTAGTTTATATGGTGTCTTCACTTCCAATGCAATACCATTTCCTCTGCTTTCTTCACACTTTTTCTTTTCTTGTGGTAAAAGCTCTGTTTTTTAGCATCATTACCATATTTAGTCATTTGCTAATTTAATTGAGCAAATGAAAAAGTTTCAGAATTGCTCCAATAATAAGTCCAACATGAAACCAGCCACATAATGGTCAGGACTTCTTCAGCACATTGTCGTTAGAATGTATTCCATGAAGCTGGAGAGTCAGAATACTGAGTTTAAACTTAGACTGTTTCTTTGTGACTCATGTCTGTTTGATGTACAGCTAAGTTTATTTGCTTCTGTTTATATCAACTTTGGGGGCTTCCTTAGTGGCTCAGATGGTAAAGAATCTGCCTGCAATGCAGGAGACCCAGGTTTGATCCCTGGGTCAGGAAGATCCCCTGGAGGAGGGCATGACAACCCGCTCCAATATTCTTGCCTGAAGAATCCCATGGATAGAGGAGCCTGGTGGGCTACAGTCCATGGGGTCACAAAGAGTCGGACACAACTGAGCGACTAATAGACACATCAACTTTTAGAGGTTGCCCCCTCATTGACTTATAAAGCTATTTTCAAATATTTACAGAACAGTTATTGGGATAAATTAATTTTTTTCACTCAAGTATTTATGAGCACCTACTGTGTGCCATTACCGTGCTGTCCACTGGGCACAGATGAGTGAGCAGGAGCATGATTGCCTCCTCAGGGGTGGCCCTGGGGTGTTCCTGTAACACTTTGCCTGGGGTTGGGGGGTGGGGGGGAGGGCGCAGCAGAGGTCAAAGGAGGTCATGCCCTGACCCAGGAAGCAAAGACTGAGGAAGAGGAGGACTCCTGAAGGTGGGTGGGGTTATCAAGGGAAGTAGACTTAAGCCTACGCTTCAGACAACGTCTGTCCTCCTCCAGAAGGACTGACGTGTGGTTTACAGTCGTTCAGCAGCGGGGGAAGGAAACCATGTCTTTGCCTTATCCTCGTGAACATTCTTATTTTGTTTCTTCAGCTTCTGCACATCGACAAAAGAAGAGAGTATCTGTATCAGCTTCAGGAGTTCTTGGTGACTGACAACAGTAGAAACTGGCGCTTCCGAGCCGAGCTGGCCGAGTGAGTCCTCAGGACGGAGCGACCTTCGGGGTGTTTGGGGGGGTGGGGGGGTGTTGCTTCCCCTCTGCCTGTCCTGGGTTTATTTCCTCATCACCGCGTGAATCCTCGTTTCTGTCTGGCATCCAGCTCCTTTCACGAGGCTTGTGATGTGGGTCTGGCTGGCAGTGAGTTCTCACAGATTTTTTTTTTTTTAAGACTACGTCACCTTTGTTTTTTAAAATTGTGGTAAAATACACACAAGCACCTTTGCCGCTGGCGCAGTGTCCCCACTGTCCCATTTAGAGCATCTCCTCATCCGAGAAGGACGCCCCGGCCACCCGCCCGCGGCCTGTCGGCCCACCGTGTCCGTGCGTTTGTGAGCATCTTCTGGGGGGGCCGCGTGAGCCTCAGGCGCATGTGCGGCCCCTTCACACAGCATGCTGTCACGCTCATCTCGGGGCAACTGTTGGAATGACCTTCCTTGTGACGAGTGTGCACCGCTCTCATGAACACACCACCTTCCAGTCCATTCCCCTGGGTGGGTTCTGCCTTTCAGCTGGCGTGAGCGGTACTGCTGTGAACACCCGTGGAGAGGTGGTGGTTTCAGTTTTTTGAGGACGTGCTGGATCATCCAGTGATTGTGTGTTCATGTGATCGAGGAACCGCATGGCCGTTTCCACAATGGCTGCCGGCTCTTGCATCCCTGCCAGCGATGGGTGTGCCTGGGTTAGGGGGGGCGTTTCCCCGCACTGCCCCCTTTTTTCAGCCGTAGCCCAGTATCACAGCCGGTGTAGAGTAGCACCGTCGCTCCTGGTGTGCGTTTCCTCAGTGATCAGTGATGGTCACCTTCTCACGTGCTGTTGGCCACTCGTACCTGTTCTCTGGAGAGATGTTTGTTCAAGTCCATTGCCTGTTTTTCAGTTGGGCAGTTGAATTGTCAGAGGCCTTTATTAAATATTCTGGATTCTGGGCATCACCTGCATTTTCAGAAGACACCTTTGCCTGGGTGTGAGGTTGGGGTATTTATTTCCGCACGTCCCAGGGCCACTGCCCCGGGCGCTGTCCTGCCCGGCCTCCTCCTCTGGTGCTGGTGTGGATGCAGGGCGTCTGTCCAGGCTGCGGGCGCCACGTCAGCAGTGTCACCGTGTAACCTTTGTGCCTAGGGTACTCCGACACAGCCTGGGCTGCCGTTGCCTTTTGCTGCGGGTGGGGGCTGGGGGCCTCCTCTACCCGGAGCCGTCCCAGCCCTGGGCTGGGGTTGCTGCCTGCGTGGTGGAGGCTGCCCAGTGTGGCGCAAAGGGAGGCCCTCTGCCCCCTGGGGAGACCTGTGTGTTGGGCCCCCCAGAGCCCCCAGCCTCCCTGGGGCCATGTCTCTGCCCGGATCTGTGCTCTGTCCAGGCAGTGCTCCCCACCCCTCTCCAGCAGGACAAGACTCTTACTTGGCATCAGCAAGGCGTCTCGGCTCAGGAAGCTCCGCCTGGCCTTCTGGGCCAGCTTCCAGGCGGGGGCGCTGCCAGGCTTTGCTGCCTTTCCATGGAGTGGGCGCTCGAGGCTTCTTCTCCTGAGGGCACAGCCTCCTCTACTTTGCCAGGCTGGACAGGGTCTGCAGGGCCGCTCTCCCGGGGTCTGCGTGCCTTTGGATGGTGCAGCTTGTTACTTTATTGTTCACCTGACTCTGCACATGACCTGCCGTGTGTTCCACTCAGACTCCACCAGGACGGCGCGTGCTGCCGGCGAGCAGCCGTCTCCAGCTGTCGTGCTGGCTGAGGGGTTGTGACTGCATTTTTGTCTCTCTCATCACTCTGCAGACAGCTCATCTTGCTCCTAGAGCTGTACAGCCCCCGGGACGTGTACGACTACCTGCGCCCCATCGCCCTGAACCTCTGTGCAGACAAGGTGTCCTCTGTGCGCTGGATCTCCTACAAGCTGGTAGGTGGTCACGTCCTTAGGGCCCTGGAGCAGCGGCATCGGTGAGGTCGGGCAGCGGTGTGGCTCACCTGCATGTCCCCCCGCAGGTCAGCGAGATGGTGCGCAAGCTGCATCAGGCAGCGCCGCCCACCTTCGGGGCAGACCTCATCCAGGAGCTGGTGGAGAGCTTCGGCCGCTGCCCGCGGTGGTCCGGGCGGCAGGCCTTCGTCTTTGTCTGCCAGGTGAGGGCCCCCTTCACTGCTGCCCTGTCCCTGAGGGCAGGGCTTTGCTATCTGGGCACCCCGCCCCCCGGCCCCCGAGCTCCCAGTAGCGGCCGTTGGTGCCTGGAGTCCCGGCTCTCTGAAGGTGAACGTGCCGCCAGGCCTCCGCGGCCAGGTCACCGCTCCGCATCTCCCAGGGCTTTACTGCGTCACGGCAAGTTCCTGAGTGCCCGGGATATTGGTGTAAAGGTAGTCGCGGGACTCTGAGGCACTTTAGAGGTTTCTGAAGGGCTTCTCCAGCTGGCATTCCGGCCTGGTCGATGGAGCCAGCAGTTGACGCAGGTCTCTGTCCCCAGACCGTCATCGAGGATGACTGCCTGCCCATGGACCAGTTCGCCGTGCACCTGATGCCCCACCTTCTCACCTTGGCAAACGACAGGGTTCCCAACGTGCGCGTGCTGCTCGCGAAGACACTGAGACAGACTCTGCTGGAGAAAGGTGGGCCGGCAGCCTGAGCGGGAGGCCTGGGGTCATGAGAAAGTGACACAGCGTCAGGGGCGAGGAGAGGGACACTGAATTTTCACCCTCCTGTTCCACGTGACCCTGTCTTCATACTTTGAACTCAGTAGTGTGGCCAGTTGGGTATCCAGCGAGGACCATGCCTTTGGCACCCACCTGCTGTCCATCTTGCCGTCGGGGCGGGAAGCGTGTGTGTGAGGCAGGGGATGTGCACTTCCTTAGTGTACGCTTTGCTGCAGATGATAAGCTCCTCCCTCAAGACTCAGGCCATTGGGTTTATTGTAATTGCACCCCCCCACCCCAAACACCTGATAAATGTCCCTTGAACCTGTGGATTCGTGAGCGGGGACAGGTAGAGGTTTGTGTAGACAAACTTTGTAATAAAACGCAGGGGCCTGTACATTGCTCCCCATTCCTCCTCTGGAATTCATCACTGTGAATGGTCGCACAAGACTCTGGTTCTCTTTGTGTGGATGGTTTGTATTTGGAAAAGTTTTTCCTCTATCTAAGGCAAGTAGTGGCTGTAACAAGCACCAGTTTTAATATGTTTGTTAGCATTGCTGCCATTAGATAGCACAAGATTTAGTCTGTTAGGAAAACAAGGTAAATTTTTTATTCTCTTATATTCGGGTTTTTTCCGTAGAACCTGAGTCAGTCTGGATCACTGTCATCCAGCAAAGCTAACTCCAATTGTCTGCACTTCCTATTTCCAGAGTACTTCCTGACCTCCGCGAGCTGCCACCAGGAGGCCGTAGAGCAGACCATCATGGCTTTGCAGATGGACCGCGACAGTGACGTCAAGTACTTCGCCAGCACCCACCCGGCCAGCACCAGGATCTCTGAAGACGCCCTGAGCACAGCCTCCTCCACCTACTAGTTGGCGTGGTCCCGGGGGCCTCCCACTCCCAGGGAGCCGAGGTCCTGCTGGCACCCACGTGACCGGGGACAGCCTCGGGGCCCGTCCTCCCGTGACACTCGGCTGCAGGTGCAAGTTGCCTACACCGATTCCAGGGATTCTCAGAGTCAAGAGAAAGTACAGTCAACGCGGTTGTCTCGTCTTGACTTGAAGGGAAAACACTTTTCTCAGAGGATTATAATCGTCACCGAAGCCTTAAATCCTTCCGTCTTCCTGACTGAATGAAACTTGAATCACCCAGCGTTCTCCTCGGAAGGGACGCCACGCCGAGGCCCCTTTGCTTCCCGCTGGTCGATCTCACCACCACGAGACCGCGAGACGGAAGCGCAGCCAGAAGGTGGAGACCGCCAGCCGGGCTGGGCCGAGACTGCCAGCACCAGGCCTTGTCCACGAGGGCAGGGCCCTGCGGAGGCTGTGGCCGCCGCCCTGTCCAGCCCGAAGTGTGACTAGTTTAGCCGTGCATAAACAGGGAGGAGATATTTTTTGGATTTCTCCTGAGGGCTCAATGCTAACACTACGTGGAGCTGATTGTGACTCTTAAATGCAGCATATTGCTGTGCACACTCACAGAGTCTGCCGAGCGTCTGTGTCCTGGTTTCTTCATGCTGGTCATGACCCGGAGGAAATTTATTAGCACGTATTCTGTATGTCAGGTGTTTTTAACTTGATCATGATTGGCTCTGAGGTGCAACTTGTCTCACATACTGTATACCCCCGTGCCCCCGGGGAGGGCCGCAGTCTGTAATCATGCTCTTGGACTGTTGTACACAAGTTCTCTTGTCCAAATAAAATTTATTACTAGATCTATACAGAGATGGACACACCTCTGACTGCTTTCTAGAATAAATGCAATTTGTGACCTGTATTAATGATTTTAGTATAAAATGGGAAAACTGGATTAAAATATTTGTCTTTTAACTAGTTTGGTAACTTCTTTGAAACTTGTGCACATCCTAGGCCGGCATTGGGCCTCCTGGGCATCCCCCCACCAACTGAGGGCAAGTGTGCACCCCGATTCCCACCCCCCTGCTGCCCGGGGGTCTTCACTCCCAGGAAAGGCCTCTGAGCCTGGGTCTGTGCGTGCGAGGGGAGGGTGAAGCCTGCCTGCCCCGCGTCTGGCAAGTGAGACGCCGTGTGGACAAGCTTCATGAAGGCTGTGAGAGATGCTCGCTCGAGTGGCCGTGGCGCTCCCGTGGTTTCAGTTCTGTCTTCTCAGCTGGTGGGGACTCCCCCAGGCGTGTCGTGAGCCCACTGTGACCTCAGACCTCGGGGATCCACAGGCTGCTTCCTGCGCTTATCATTACAGATGAGCCTCTGGTTCCTCCTCCTTCGTTATAACCGGATGTTTGTGCTCTGGGAACGCGTGTGGACAGATTCATGGAGACGAACAAAAAAGTAAACACATAGGTAACGTGTGACGGAGGTAATAAGGACAGAGCCGCAGAGTGAAAAGTGATGGGGGTGGTGGGTGGACGTTAGGGGAACGCGTCTGAGTCAGTGTCAGAGCAGAGACGGAAGGAGATGAGGCTTCTTGATGTCAGCCTAGTTTCTGAGATGCATGTTCTTTACTATTAGGCTATAAAGATACTTTGTCCCTCCCCCCAAATTTCAATTCAGTAAATTAATTAGAATTCTACACTAGATCAAACCAGTCAGTCCTAAAGGAAATCAACCCTGAATATTCATTGGAAGGACTGATGCTGAAACTGAAGCTCCAATACTTTGGCCACCTGATGCGAAGAACTGGATTAGAAAAGACCCTGATGCTGGGAAAGATTGAAGGTGGGAGGAGAAGGGGATAACAGAGGATGAGATGGTTGGATGGCATCACCGACTCAATGGACATGAGTTTGAGCAAGCTCTGGGAGATGGTGAAGGACAGGGAAGCCTGACGTGCTGAAGTCCATGTGATGGCAAAGAATCAGACATGACTGAGCGACTGAACAACAACTATATTAGTAGCTGCATTCTTTTTTAAGCAGTGGCAAGAATAACAGTCCATTTTGGGGTAAAGAACCTGAATTTAGGGTCAGCTACACCATCAGCCAGCTTCTGCCTTGGCACCGAGCCACATCCTCACCGTGGGGTCCTGAGCTGGATTCCAGGTGCCTGCACACGGCAGGCAGGGAAGGGACATCAGCACTGAGTGATGGTCGAGGCCTCCCCGGCGTGGACTCAAGAGGAGGTTGGCCCGCCAGCTCCTGATCGCGGCTCTCTAGGGGTGATAGTGGGGCCCCTCAGCCCCCTTAGGGGTGAATGGAGCGGCAGGTGGGCCCTCTGAGGATGTGGACACCGGCCCCCAGGGGCAGGGAAACCCAGTGGACTCAGACATGCCTCCACACTTCTTCCAGGTCCCCCAGAGGCTAAAAGGGACCACAATCCGGTAAGTACCCGAACCGTTAATTCCACAACAGAGAAACGAATGGGATCTGTGCTGGTGGCATTTAGTGTCAGGCAGCTCCTCGCGGGAGTAATCCCGTGATGCTGTGGGGCTCTGAGTGACCCGAGTGAACAGGAAACTGATTTTCCAAATTGGAGCCTGCTGCTTGGCCAGTGTCCTCGGGACTGTCGCCCCTCCTGTAGCCCCTTGGTCACCTGCCTCCCTCTGGCCGGGCCTGCTCCCAGGTCCCCGTGTCCCCAGCGGGGAGTCGCCCTTGAGCCTCTCCCGAGCGCCTGAGTGTCCTTCCCTAACGAAACCCACCACCCAAGGCCACCAGCCGTCCGGCCCTGTGACTCCTAGAGGCCTGGGGGTCAACCTTTGTGCCTGTGAGCTTCCACGTGAAGCCCCCGAGACCCTTGTGATTCCAGGCCCCTGCAGCCTTTCTGGAACCCTGAATTGGCAAGGGCTGAGTCACAGAGCCGGCTTGGTAACGCAACCCACAGGGTCCCTCCTACCCCTATGCGGCGCCAGGACCCTGGGGTTGGGGGGCGGTGTGTCGGGGATACGGGAGCAGCCGATGCTAAACTACCTCAACAGGAAGAGCGCTGTGTCCCAGGCACCAGCTGCCAGCATTGCCCTTTCTGAGGTCCAGGAGATGGAAGCAGTGGGCGGCAGGAGGAAAAGGCCCAGCCTTTGGGACAGTGGGGCTCCTCCAGCCCAGAGCAGAAGGTGAGCCTGGGAGCAGACGTGGGGCAGCAGGCCTCTGAAGCTCCCCACCTTCACCTTCGTGAACACGCCGAGCCCCGTGGATCTATGACCTGCCGGGGTCGGAGCCGGCATGGGGTAGGTGACCATGGGGAGGGAGGCCCGGCTCTCACCCTCCACCAGCAGCTCCAAACTGCGGGTTTTGTGGCCGCTTGAAAGTGAGGGTTTTGACCCAGTGGAGATTTGACCTTGAGGACATTTTGACTATTTATAAACAGAGTTCCTACTGTGACCCATTTTTGTTGAAGGCCTCTTCTGCTGTGAACCCTACTAAGTTGTTAAATTCTGCACTGTTTACATAGGTTACTAACCGACTAGTTTTAGCCTGATCTTATAAAAAAGTTATTTTCCTTTAAAATTTTTTTCCTAGAAAACTAAAGTGATCAGTTTTTAGTCCCTGGGACATTTTACAGCACTATTATAGCCTGATTTCTGCTGAATCTTTTTGAGGGCACATTTTGCTGGTTTAAATTTGGCAAAATTGGAGTTTTAGCCTAACCACATGACTCTCTCACCCTCATCAGCTGTGTTTCGTGTTCAGGAGTCAGCAGTGGTGGTTGATTGGCTGCAGACGTCTCCTGGGGGGCATGGTGACTTCAGATGCTCCACGGAAGAGGCCATCAGCCGCTCCTGCACTGGGCGACCGCTCAGCGGTCCCAGCGAGAGTGGGCGGGCAAAGCGCAGTGTGGGGACTGGTCCCCAGGCAGACGCCCAGGGGAGGACGGCCTCACAGCAGGCGGTGCCAGGCCCGGAGGACGTTCCCTGTGGCTCAGACAGAACAGGAAAAGGTGTGTGTGTGTGTGTGTGTGTGTGTGTGTGTGTGTGTGTGTGCGCGCGCGCGCGCGCTCATGGTGAGGCTGCCACCTGACATGTCTTGGATGGTCCTTCATTTGGAGATTTTTCTGGACTCTTAGTGTGTTTTGGCTTTCAAGTATCTTGAGTAGGTGATTTAGGAGAGTGCTGCTCAAACATCGCTGTGTGTTCAGTCACCCTGGAGCCCATGAAAATGAAGCCAGTGACCCAGCATGTCTGGGTGCGGCCTGAAAGCCAGCGCTCCTACCAGAGCAGGGGGACCCCGTGGCTGTGGGATCTTGCCTTACCCAGATTAACACTCTTTCCATAGCTTTCTTTTCAACCCCCAACAGCACAGGATCAGAACGACTATTCCGCACTCAGCATTTGCATTTGGTTTCCTCAGCTGCAAGTCGGTGCTTTGCGATGCCCTGGGTGTCATACCCATAGGTGACAGGGAGTCACAGCCACAGCAGCTGCAATGGCAGCACAGAGCTGAGCTGCGGGGGGTGAGCCCAGAGCCCGGGGTTCCCAGGGCCGCCCTCCTGCAGCACGGGAGGCAGCAGGCCCAGCGGACACAGGCTGCACGCGGAGGGACACGACGTCTCCTATGATAGCGGCTTCTCTGGTGCCTCAGTACAGCCCCCAGGTGGCAGCGTCAGCCCTGGGGCACCCGCTCAGTGGGTATCCCCATGCTTTTACACGCAAGGCCAAGAGCCAAACCCGGGCAGTTGTAATCCGTTCAGCTCTCCCAGGCCCACCTGCTCGAGCCGTCAGCAGGCTGTGCGTGTTCTCCTGCACTCACTACACTGGGTCCCCCCACCTCCCCCAACCTATCTCCCCCAAGTATCGCCAGCTCTGACCTGCACACCGCTAGGGACCTCTTTAGCCTTTTGTATCAGGGTCATCAGCCCAGTCGCTTCTTGAGATGCTAAGGCAGCACTGAGCTGGGCTAAGTCGCTTTAGTCTTGTCCTACTCTGCGACCATAGCCTGACAGGCTCCCCTGTGCATGGAATTCTCTAG